CGCCGGTGCTCAGCCTCGACTGGCACCCCAACAACGTCCTCCTGGCCGCTGGCTCCTGCGACTTCAAGTGCCGGTGAGGCACGGGGGTGGTGGGTGACCAGGGAGGGCTGAGGTGTGGGGACGGCCCGAGGATGGGTTGGGGTCCCACCCTGGGAGCCAGGGACAGAGCGCAAGAGAGACACAGGGAGGGCTGCAGGGTGCCCCGGGGACCACCCCGACGTTACAGCACTCAGTGGGGCACCCCATGGGCTCCGGCAGGGAAACTGAGGCATGCAAAGTTGGGGGCAGGGATGGAGGCAGCTCCGGTGCTGCGTCCAGGGACACATGGCAGGGCTCTCCCCCTCCCAGGATCTTCTCAGCCTACATCAAGGAGGTGGAGGAGCTTTGTCAGCACAAGCCTTATTCCTCCAAATATATTATTGAATGAAAGAAAGAACCTGTTCTTTTATCTGCTAATGCTGATGGCTATAATCCATCCTGTTCATTTTCTGTGCTGCTGTTTTCTTTGTATGGTTCTTCTCTGGCTTATGTAGCACAGAAAAACTGAATTGCTGAAGTCTAATGTACTTTTCTATTCCTGGCAACAGTGTAGGTTGCTGAACCATTATGTGGGAGATGCCTTCTGGAATATGAAGTCTGTGTTGCGGTTGGGATATGGCAGGGTTAGGGCCCAGTCTAGGAAGAGCCTTCTAATTAGCTTTTTGGATATTTTCTATAGAGCTACCAATTAGATTGTCTTTTCCTGAGCAGTTTTTGCAAGTGGAAAGTGTTCTTTCTGAAGATGTCATGCTACAGGGCTTTCCTAGTGTATGTGGTGCCACTTAATTGTGGGAAATCAGGAGTGAAACCCCTGAATTTATACCAGCCAGGAAACAACTCTTCATCTGATGACAGGAGGACAGACACGTTTCCCTTCATAGCTAATCACTTTTGATTTATTCCTGTTCAAAGTTTTATTTGGTTGTTAATATTTGCAAATAATGTACTTGGTGCTGGATAGCATGTAACATTGGAGCCAGATTGTGCCCCAGAAGGCTAGGGCAGCTTTCGTTTACTTATTTGTACATACCGTACCTGAGCCTTAATTTTCTTTTAAATAGAGCTTTAATTGGGTCTCTGGATGAACTCTTACGTTCACTTCTGGCCATGTGCAAAATGGTATCTTGTATAATGAAGGCTGTTCAGAAGCCCAGAGCCTGGGGTCGGTCAGGGTTGAATTAGTTCTTGATCTGCACCTGAACCTTGGGCAAGTGGTTAAACCCCTCTGTAACTTCAAAATGGTACAGAGGAGTGACGTGTGTGATACATAGGCTCTTTGTGCATTACATGAACGAGGTTAGTTTAGCTGTAGTTCTGCTTGTTTACCATGAAATACTAAGACAATGCTGGTACTCTTACGTACGAGGAGTCTTATTAAGTAGTGATGGTGATGCATATTGGCAAGTCTTGCAATTTTTATCATATCTTTGCAAATCTTTACATTCCTGAAGCTTTTCTGGGTACCCGCAGGCCTTTCTGGGTATCCCCAGAGCATCCCTGGGCATCCTTGGGTACCCCTGGACATTTCTGGGTATCCCTGGAGCATCACTGGCCATCCTTGGGCACCCCTTGACATTCCTGCACACGGGAGATGGAGGGGTCTGGCCCCTTTCCCACCTACCGACTCCTGGGCAGCCCCGAGGGCTCGGAGGGGGCCTGGGGCTGACTCCCCGCCGCCTTTTTGCACCCCACAGCCAGATCTCGGTGCTGGCGGGCGGGAAGGCCAACTGCTCGCAGTTCTGCACCACGGGGATGGATGGCGGCATGAGCATCTGGGACGTCAAGGCGAGGCGTCCC